CCGGCCAACGCAATCCTATTGTAATACATTTGAATGTAAAATGTTCGTTGTGATTTTAAGTCCAAGTAAACGAACCGGAGGGTCGAGGTTCAAGTTCCAAAAAAAAAACGGAACCAAATATTAATATATTTGGTTCCGTTTTTTTTTTAACAATATATTATAGGTCTATACAAAACATTTCCATGAAGTGTCTGGCACCAAAATACCAAACGGATCATGCATTGTTGTCATTGCACGACACACACACACCTCCCACAGGTGAGCCACAGTAGGTGCGTCGGCCCAGGAGTGTTCTGCGTTGAGGCCACTCTTCCCGTTCTTGTAGATCACGATGGAGAAAGACTTATCGAACCACCTGAGGGAGAGGAAGATGGAGACGCGTGAGAAAATATTTCATGCAGTTACAATTACAAAAACGATATGGTCTCTCAACCCACAGACCAAACATTTCCCCCTCCCTCCGTCCGTCAGTAAATAACGGTTAAACCTCAGACTTTAATCTCAGAATTTTTAGAAATGAACACTTAACGGTTAATTCAGACCTTTTCACGTGCTTTAACGTTACCAAATAGTGTGTTGAATGCCATTTAAATTACCGGATACTTCCGATTTCAAAGCAGCTAAAAAGTTAACGTGTTGTTCTTTTTTCTGGGTTCAGTGAGAGATATTGATCCCTGGTTTGCGATCCATTTTCTAGATGTTAATTTGGTTTGTTGTTCCTCACAGCACTTTCAGTAAGAATACTTAAATCAGAATTCCAAATTATTTTCAAAAAATTCTGTCTTTTTTGTTAAATTTGACTTTTTCCTAAAAGAAATCTGACTTTTTCTTATTTTTGATTTATTTTCCCCGAATTCAAGATTTTTTTCTCAGAATTCTTCGGGAAAAAACACTTTAAGTCGATATTTTCGGATATTTTAACTTGACCAAATAATGTATTTCATGCGATTTAAATGACTGGATGCTTCGGATTTCAAAGCAGCTAAAAAAGTGTTTTGCTTTTCTCTGGGTTCAGTGAGAGATATTGATCCCTGTTTGCGACCCCTTCTCTAGACGCCAATTTGTGTTATTTCCCACGTGTCGTCCTCACCGATCGTAGCACTTTCCGTAAGAATACTTAAATCAGGATTCCAACTTATTTAAGAATTTTTTTTTTTTTAAATGCTGCTTTTTTGTTAAATTCTGACTTTTTCCTAAAAAAAATCTGACTTTTTCTTACATTTGATTTATTTCCCCAGAATTCAAGATTTTTTCTCAGAAATCTTAGGGAAAAAACATTTAAGTCGATATTTTCACATATTTTTAACTTTACAAATAATGTGTTTAAAATATTGCACAATTCCCGATTACTTCTGATTTCAAAGCAGCTAAAAAGTTTACTACTATTTTGCATTTTCTGAGTTCAGTGAGAGATATTGATCCCTGTTTGCGGCCCCTTCTCTAGACGCCAATTGATATTATTTCTCACCGATCGTAGCACTTCCCGTGCAGAATAGACTTGGCGTATCGGTCCAGATTTCCCACGGGATCGTCTCCCTTCATGCCTTGTTCTTCATCGTCCAGCGTCACGAAGAAGGCCGACCTCTCGATGATATCCAGAGATCGCTTATTGACCCCAGAGCTGAAATACTCCTTTCTGATCTTAGCCCAAGGAACCCTTAGAGAAACACAAAGGAACACTATTAGATAAAACACATTATCAGACACGAACAAAAGCACATGATGTGAAACTGATCAAAAACACTCATTAAAAAAAGGGAAAGGATGTTCATTTATTTACCTACACTGCTTCCTGCACATTAACCTTGTTTATATATCTGTGTACATTCACCTGATCACATTTTTGTTATTTCTTTTCATACTTTTACTCATTTGTTATCAACTCCAACAAGTGTGTGAGTGTGTTTTCTGCTGTGTTCACATGCCTTGTTTATCTCCCCTGTCTATCCGCATGGACACACTCCAAATTACATAACACAACTGTGGGAAATCATTTGCTTAAGTATTCAACCTTTCACACAGTTCATCATGTTCTCCTTTCCCACGGCATAGTTCTACGGCCTGGGGTATTGCTGCCATCTCTCTTAAGGAGGAGCAGATTGGGAGCATTGTTGTCGTTGTTGATTATGACCGAGCCCCAGCTGACATGAGGTAGTGTTCGGGGACGAAGGTTCCCTCGAGCTCTAGTTAGATTCAGGGTCCATATTGCTTTAGTCTCACTGATGAAGAATGTTGATTATTACACTCAGAACTAGTTCAAACCTGGGCTCTTCAGAATTGATTTGGCATCTCAACGTGTGGTCAACTCGTGGCCCGTGACATGTCTCCGGCCGAAGCTCCAAATAAACCGTCAGTGTTTGCCATCAAAGCTCCAGCTCTCCTCGTGTCTCTGAGTCCTGACTCCATCAGAGCTCCAGCTCTCCTCGTGTCTCTCTGAGTCCTGACTCCATCAGAGCTCCAGCTCTCCTCGTGTCTCTCTGAGTCCTGACTCCATCAGAGCTCCAGCTCTCCTCGTGTCTCTGAGTCCTGACTCCACACAGACACACACACCCTCATTTCCTCCTCCCGGTGACTCTTTGTTACAGAAGCCTACCTGTCATTATTTCCTGATACGAGTTTCCTTTTTATCTGACCTTCTTCATTTTGTCTCCATTTCTAACTCTGTGAAAAACAACTTGCAGAGACTCGAAATACTGCCTGTAATATCTAATTCATTACAGACGAACGGAAGAGGTTTAGGACCACGCGTAAAAGAAGCTCGATATCTGACCAAAAGTTAGTTATTTTTTATAAAAGTCAGAATTCTTAAGATAAAAATCTGCTTTGGTCAGATCCTAATTTCTGAGATTTAAAGGTGGGGTAGGTAATTCCCTTCAGAACACTTTTTGTTATATTGCATGGAATGCTCTTAACATCCGATAGCAATGAATATCTGAAGTGCTTTGACAAAAAATCCATAAAAAAAGTTCATCTGTGGAAGAAGCTGTGGTTCTGTAAAAAGCACGACCAATCATCTGAGCCGGCCCGGCTAAAATAAGTGGATGGCACAAGTATAACGGCCGTAGAATTCATATCACAAGTCACAGCAGCAAAAGGTTCTGACTGCACGGGTTGGTTGCCATGTCAATTCTGTTCAGCCTCTCTAGATCAGTGCTTCTCAAAGTGTGGTCCGCGGACCACTGGTGGTCCGTGAGTATATTGGTAAAATTTCACATTTGAAATAAATAAATGTATTTAAGTTTTCCGCACTCTCGCGGGAATATCTCCGCAATGGAGCAAGCTTAAGTTTCACTTTCGATTGCATGATATAGCCCAGATAAACACCTTCATCACACATGTGGCCACTTGTTTGTACCATTTCCAGGCGATTTGTAAAAAAACGACGTGTTTTTGGATATTTGTGGAGATAGGTGGCCCGCGAGTGTTTTTTTATTGGTTAAGTGGTCCTTGGTATGAAAAAGTTTGAGAAACACTGCTCTAGATAGACCTTTTAACTAGTTCAGAGAGAGTAAACAACATATTTGGGGAGATGGGGCGTTAACACCTGGAGACACTGAATCACTTACCTGACTCTTAGGCTCTGTGACCCAGAGTTGACCGGTCATAAAACTGGTAATGTCAACAATAGCTGAGACTTCCCATTCCTTAAGACAGATAACAGACTTAGGGTTGGTCGCAAACGTCAACACACAGAAAAGGTTAGACTCCTAGGGGTAAGACACAATTAATCCCTAACATGCCTTTAAATCAGAATTCCAGGAAAAAAATCAAAATTCCAAGGAAAAAAAAGGTTACAGTTTTGAGTACTGAGAACGTTTTCAGAAATTACGTTTTCAGAAAAAAAATTCTCAAAACCTTTTTCCTTAAATTTGACTTTTTCCTCAGAATTCATAGGGGGGAAAAAACCCTTGAGGTCGGATCAAAATTTATTTTTTAGATCTGACCAAAAGTCATATATCCAATCTGACATTTAAAGTGAAAATCCTGACTGTAATCTCAGGAAAATCCACTATTGTTCAGATCTGAATTTGGGATCCCATGTGGGTCAAGATGTCAAAAAGCTTCTAACGTCTTCCTTTAAAAGATAAGTTATACTTCAGTGAACAACGCACAGCTTCCTCCAAACACCCCTTGAGATGAAGTGCCTTGAACACATTCGACAGTAGTTGAACATCCGGAAGCTCTTCAGAGATTGTCGGGCTGTTAACCTTTGATCCCATTTGTTCTTTAGATTGCGCAATATCCTGACCCCAGGGCTCAGATAGGGAAGTGTGGTTCAGAACATGGCCTGGGTGTGGGGGCGTGTGTGTGGTCATTATACTGGAGAGGAAGTGTGTACTCTGCTGCCCCCCAGTGGTCCCAGTGTATAATCCTACAACATGCTGAGGAGTGGTCAGAAGACTGATTGTTTTAAATGTATTTTTCTCAAATTCTGACTTATTTTCTTATATATTTGACTTTCTCAGATTTCTGACTTTTTTTCTTATATATATTTGACTTTTTCTCAAATTCTGACTTTTTCTTATATATTTGACTTTTTCTCAGATTTCTGACTTTTTTCACAAATGTCTATCTTTTCTCAAATTTAAATGTTTTCTCAAATTTGACTTTTAGCAGCAGTGTGTCCTCTGCTGCCCCCTAGTGGTCCCAGTGTATAATCCTTCATGCTGCTGGTGGTATGTCTCTGTACAGATTGATACTGTTGTATTGAAATGTGACTCTTGTTATACAATACTTTTTTTTTAACAAATTATTAATTTCTCTTTTACAAGTTCTGACTTTTTTCTCAAATCTGGCTTCTTCTAAGAATTCTGACTTTTTTC